TGTTATCTAATTGACATAATTACTTCAGCTTATCTTATCTTATATAATACAGACGTTACTTCAAAAAAAAAGAAGATGATTACGTCCTACGCGTCATGCATTCAGTCATGCATATTAACCAATGACTTACATTCTGCCAAGTCACTGGTTTTCCTGGCTAGTCAGGCAACACATTCCATGCACTAATAGCACTAGGGAAGAAGGAGTATTTGTACAAATTTGCCCTAGTGTATGGGATGGGAAATCTTTCTTTATCTTTGTGTTTTTCAGAGTATTTTATTAGATTTTGTTTTTGTATTTGAAGATTATGGTTCAGAGTTTTATGTATAATAGCTACTTTACTTTTGAGTCATCTCTCCTGAAGGCTTTCTAAATTTAGTGATTGTACTAAAGGTGTTACTCTAGTCAAATGTGAATATTCGTTTGTTAAGAATCTCATGAAGTGGTAGTATAGTGTACTCTAGCTGTATTTCTATTGATACTGTAGTGTAATAGAACGGATAAGACGTGTTTAGTCAACGAATAAATGTATTTGGTCAAAAATTATTTGTGCACTTCTTGTAACAGTGAGAAGCCAATCAGCAGAAGTATTAGAGAAGCGGAAGTACTCAACCGGTACCCGCTGATGTTCCGCACACCAGAGGAGCAGGCGATTTTTGAAAAACAGGTTAGACCATTTCTGTTCTTTTAGATTAACAGGCTCATTTCGTTGCATGTTTTCTGTGATTTTCTTATAGTTCTAATTTGTTGAAATATTTTAATCTTCTTGTGGTTAGATCACGTAGACACATTTTTTTTTTAAGACATTCAAATTATTTACAAAACCATTTTGATAGTTTATCAAATTATTGACATACTTTTTTTGATTGTCATTTAGCCGTTATACACTTTAAAACCAAACTCTGAAAGCAGAAACTTTTACTTTAGTTTCTCTTCTCTTGTAGTTGGCTAGTTGTGTTCATTTCTCTTCTCTTGTAGTTGGCTCAAAATAAATATTTTTCTCCAACAGTTTTATGCTGAGAACTTAGCGTTTAATTTAGAGACAGCAGAGATTGCGACAGACACCCAATTACAAAACTGTTCTTTCAGGTCAGTTTTAGTTTTAAATAAGTAACATAGAGCATTACCACCATTTTCAAAACGACAATTTCTTTTTTATAATGTTCACTACCCTCTGTAACAAACGTAGGTACACCTAAGCAGTTCATACATAATACATTTTAATCCTTTCCTTACCTATACCTCCTCCTGTCCCTCCAAAAAATAATTCTAGTAAAGTGAATGTATAAATCTACAGAGTATATACAATTCTAATTATAGGCCTGTAGGTCAAGATTTAGAAGGCGGTGCGCGAGATGTTTTCTAAACATTTATTTATCTATTTACACGCGGGAATACCCGCTGACGTATGTGTGCTCAAGCTATAGATTGTCTAGACCTCCAGACCAAATTAATTTTAGAGGATAATATTTCGATAAAATTATAACGGTTGAACCAGATTTTTTTTAGTCTGTGTAGCCAATTAGCTAGCAATATTTTCACCATAGATATATATAAATATATATAAACTGTCAAATTTTTAGCATTCCGATTACTGTGTCCAGGCAAGTTTCTGATGTTTCCTGTTTCTTCCTATGTAAAATTTGCATTAGCAAGCTGAAAAGAGGAATCGTAATAGAAATAACTATCACTAACCTAAGGCGTATTCATCTGCTGATCATAAAGGTCCGTAACCAGTTAAAGAAATGTTGTTTGATACAACACCATCTCGTTATTGCTCTGTTCTCAGTTGTCCCTCCAGAAGTAGAAGGTCATTGGCTACATATCATCCTCTGATGGAGTGGATCAATCATCACAAAAGTTTCCACGAAATGAAGAAAAGGGACATAACCACACAGCCGGGACCTAACATTTATCATGGATGTTGCATTTCGTGAGTTACCTCTCTTAGCACCTGTTCTGATAAATCTAGTTGAATCTACATACATTGTTTGCCAGGCGATCTCTCTCTTTCTTTCTCTCTCTTATATATAAATTTATTGTGTTTTATAACATGAAGTACAGAGTCTGTTTTCTACTTTTATCATTTCCACTTTGAAAATTAAACTCTTACTTTTAGAAAAGTGTTTTCTACTTTTATCATTTCCACTTTGAAAATTAAACTCTTACTTTTAGAAAAGAAAAGTCTGATCTATCTTTCATCAATACTAGAATCCCCGGCATACTATGGATAATGACGTGTTCACCACTTAACCGTTGTAATATTAATCTATATACAACGTACCATTTTCTCTCATTCAAATGGTATACATAATGCGAATATTTGTAACAAGTATGGATCTTTTTGAATTATTCATAGCTCAAGCTGAAAGATGAAATGTATATTATTTTTTTTAGAACAGAAATTTATCAGTGAATTTAATGATGCTCATTTCTTGTTTTCTCTCTCGGCAGTCGCCACTATTTTGTAAGTCCAGACTTTGGTAGTACTATTAGTGGCACCAACTACTCGCTCGTCCAGTTTGATAGTCGGCGACAATACTTCCCATCTCAGATTTGCAAGTAAGTTACAGTCTAATGAACTGACTAATTTAGCGCTAAACGTAGAGAGAAGGCGTAAAGAAAGGGGAGAGAGGCTAAGTACGCTTGAACTTGGCTCGGCTTGGCTACCTGTGAAGGGGGCCCGAGGTTCGACACCCGAATCTAGGAGAGTTGTGTTTACTGAGCGCCTAAAGGCAGCACTGAAAACCTTCTCCCAGATACCCCCTCCCCCCCCCCACCCCTATCCTAAAATGAGATTGGACCAAAGCGCTCTTAGCATGCTATAAGCATGAAAGTAGCGCTATATAAAAGTTATATATATTATTACTAACACAAGAAATGTTTATGTTTAAGTGTAATAAAAGATTTGCAAACATAAATATTGCACTGTTTTCAGCAATTACCAAAGCACCTTTTAAAATTATAGATCTTTTCGTCACGTTGTTTTCGATTGATTTGTTTTAATAAATATCCAGAGCCTATTTCTATCCTATGAAGAACTGCACAATGAAAAAGGGTTCTGAAAGAGTTGGGGCTCATCACACGAGAGATAAGAATATCCTCGAGAACTGAAATTGACACAAATTACTTAAATAATTAACACCTAACTAAAAAAAATTAAGTCATGACTAAAATAATTAACCCATGACCGTTCCTTATGGCGCGAAGTCGTTTGTGTTCAAGCTTACACAAGCTTTGTAATAGCGGTGAAACTTTCAAACTTTGTTATAGCGGTGAAATATTCAAACTTTGCAATAGCAATGAAACATGTAAGCTTTGTAATAGGAGTGAAACATTCAAACTAATTAAAAGCAGTAAAACATTCAAACTGTATAATGGTGTTGAAAAATTCCAAATTTTTTATAGGAGTGAAACATTCTGACCAATTAGTAACAGCAAAACATTTAGATTTTAAAATGTGAAACATTCTGACAAATTAATAGCAGTAGAACATTCAAACTTTATAATAGCGGTGAAAAATTCAAACTATTTTTCACATTGACGCATAACCTTGATGGAAATAGTTACACAAATCTCTAGTTTCTCTTTGTATTATAAACCGTGACATATAAGTATTGGTCCCCGACGAATGGATTTGAATGCTCCGGGAAAGCCAAATGTTTTCTGCATTGAAGAATTCAAACGTTTCTTTGTGGAAAGATTTATTTGTGCTCAAATTTAACAAACATGAAAATGAGTCGCGTTTCATCGAATTTATTGCAAACCTATCACCAACTCACGCTTTCTGTCTGTCTGTCTGTCTGGTTCAGTTTTTTGTACTCTTATTTCTCGAATTTCCCATTCTTAGATCAAGTTTAAACATTGCACAAGTATTCAATTTTCATAACAAAATATGAATAAAAAAATAACCAATTAATCAATTAATTTGAGTTAATTAAGTAAAATAATTTGATATTAAGGAAAATAAATATTACAGTATTGATATATAAAAAAAAGTAAAGTTCCCCTTTCAGTTCATGCGGTCTAGCGGGCAGATGATGTTAAGGTCATCCGTTTCTTTGGCAACTTAACTCTTTCTCTCCGTAATTATTTACCACATTCAGCTGGAATCAACGCTGGTATCGTCTGTTAGAAGAGAAAGAGTTAAGTCAGGTACTCATTAGAGTTGGGCGAACTCAAGTGAGTGAAAGATAGATAGATAATAAAAAGGAAAAGTAAAGTTCCCCTTTCAGACCTTGCGATCTATGGGGCAGATGATGTTAAGGCCATCTTGTTTTAACGAGGGTGTCATACTGCCAGCACCACGACCAACCGCCTTTACTATCCCCAACGAAAGTCAGGTACCCATTAGAGTTGGGTGGACTCAGGGGCGCCCTAAAAATCCCGAAGTTCGAAATCCCAGTCTTCACTGAGATTCGAATCCAGCACCCCAGTTTCGGAAGTTAAGCGCTTAACCACTTAGCCACCGCGCCCCCCACAGTATCGATACAAAAGTATTTCAATATTTTGCTTGTTTCAATATAACAGTATCGCACCCAGAATCTTATGATCACTTAGACGCATCACTGGACGCGGAATTATCAAGGTCCCGGGTTCCAACCTTACCCTCTCCTTCCCCCTTCATCCTGCGGGAGGTATGGAGGCATGGGGGTATGGAGGTATGGAGGCATGGGGGCATGGAGGCATGGAGGTATGGAGGCATGGGGGCATGGAGGCATTGAGGTATGGAGGCATGGAGGTATGGACTAGGAAGTAAATTATCTTCAACTCTAAAGGAACATCCGAAACATAAACATTTGACTAAAAAAAAACATTTTTTTAAAAACTTGTTTCTCTTGTCTAACACATGTCACTGTGACCTCATTTCAGACATGCTGAGAACTGTCGAGGATGTGGGTGCGCACAGGAAATAAATTTCTTCACGGCCATTGTGGTCAACCCCAATTACCCTCACGACAGCTTTGACCCGTACACCATGGTGGCCATCAAGTTACCCGGATGTTGTAAATGTTTCAACAACTTACCAGCCCCTTGAAGCACTGGACATTGTACATCATCCATCATGTGAATAGTTCATCCGAATGACCTTAGTTCATTTCGTTGATAACTTGATGTAAATAATTCATCCAAGTTGACATCTCTGACATGAACGGGATGTTAGGGCTAGACTTTTATTAAAAGCATTTTCATATTTAACAAATAGTTAAATGTCATTGAAACATTTTACACAAACTGCTGAGAATGACAAGATATTTTGACAATAATTTGTCTGTCTCATAATTTTTACTTAATTTTATAGGTCTATTATCACTCTCTCTCTCTCTCTCTCTCTCTCTCTCTCTCTCTCTCTCTCTCTATATATATATATATATATATATATTTGTCTTTTAATGAATGAATCTGTAATATTATTTGACATCTAATACCTAATTTTATATTTTTATTTCATTAATATTGCCAGTAGAATTCCAAGGTGCTATTTACAATTAATAGAATGAGTTTGCGAGTTTATTCAAGTCATGTTGGACATTGAAATAGGGAATAGATTAACTCCTCGTGTCATTGCAATAAATTTAACTGATTTATAAGAAGTAAATATTGATTCAATAATCTTTGTTTTATGTGTATATATTCCCCTTAGCTTGACTAATTGTAATAAATTTGAGATCCGCCCCCCTCCCCACATCCGCCAATTAAAAAAAAATCTCTTTGACGAAAAAAGGGAAAGACTGCGAAAACAGAATTTAAATAGCCCCCCCACCCCCACCCCCAGTGTAGCAAAATATTCAGGTCACAACTGAGTCAGCGTTGTCCCGTGACCTTCTGCACTCATTCCTGATCTTCCTATTTGAAGTCATTGTTTTAATATCATAAATATAAGGTGGCCAAGTGTCAGCGCTTGGTCCTAATTAGCCTAGACCTACATTCCAAACTACGAATGTATACTGTACACTTTTAGTGACCTTGACATTCTAAGTGGGGGCCGTTGATATGGATCTGTGTTCGGTTTCAACTCCAGACATCTAGTCCAATTAAAGTTGATACATTTGTTACATAAAAAATGGAATAAAGCTCAGCAAAACTTCTCTTGTTTTTTTAATTTTATTTTTTTAAAAACAAAATCATCTTGACTTTATTTTATACCTATAAATATAGATATTTCTAGTCCAAAATTTCTTTTTTTTTTTTTGTTCAATGGAAACAGTGTCTTTTGTCTCTGACTTCATCTCCAGTTTCAAATGACTAAACAAACAAATAATCCACCATAGTTTTACTCGTGGTTACATCAGAATCTTTTCAAGCTAGACAAACAAATAATCCACCATAATATTTCTCGTGGTTACATCTAAAGCTATACAAACAAAAAATCCACCATAGTTTTACTTGTGGTTAGATCACAATCTATTCAACCCGTTGATGTTGACGGCCGTTGACTTATAGCACGAAGTCGGTGGTAGACAACTGAACCGCTGTAGACGTATTTTATCTTAACTTATAAAACTTGACATAACTTGAATAACTTCATTTGTGAACAATATTATATATAACTTTTATTACTATGTAGAAAAAAATCAACTTGATATAAATTTAAATAAATGTCGTAGAATTAATAATTTATATATGAGAGTATTCTAAAAATTCTAAATCACTAGAAAAACGCGTCTTTTCATTCTGGCAATCAGGAGTCGTCTCCCCTATCCAATGCAGCTGATGACAGTGCCACATCATTCGCAACCAATCGCTAGCCCACCGTCACCATAGAAACAAACACAAACACACTTCATAACACCTATCAAACAAATAATCCCCCCCCCCCCCCAGTTTTACTCATGGTAACATCAGAAACACACACACACTGCATCACATTATTAAAAAGCATACACATATCAAAGTCAAAGATCTTCCAAAATCCGTGAATAAATATGCACCAAAAGGAGGTGCGATGGCTGAGAGGTAAAGCGCTTGGCTTCCGAACTTGGGCTCCGGGGTTCGAATCCTGGGGAAGACTAGAATTTTAAATTTTGGGATCTTTGGGCGCCTATAAGTCCACCCAGCTCTTACCTGATAACAGTTGAGGAAAATGTAAAGGTGGCTGGTCGTTGTGCTGGCCCCTTAACACCCTCGTTAGCCCTGGGTCACAGAAACAGATGACCCAGCTCTTATGGGTACCTGATAACAGTTGGGGAAAAAGTAAAGACGGTTGGTCGTTGTGCTGGCCACATAACAACCTCGTTAACCGTGGGCCACAAAAACAGATGACCCTTTACTTCTTAACCTTTTTATTTTGTTTACTTTTGTTCAATGTGATCTTGTATCTCCGTCATGTACGGTGAATCCTCGAGCACCGCCAAGTGCCGCCCTCTGAAGATGTAGATCTAAACCTACACCGTATGCAACACTATGCATCGTTATTTCCTGCGGATGTCAAGCACTTAGCGGGCTTGGTGTGTTTTACGTGGCCAGGGGGGGGGGGGGTCAAAGTTCATTACACCGTGAATGGTATTTCTAAGGACAGTGTAAACATTCGTTTTAAAAGATTGATTTCGCTCATTTATTTATTTATTTTTTTGTTTTCTTTTGGAGAATTTCTTTCCATAAATTTATAATTATTTTTAATTAGAACGAAAAAATTATTTTTCTCATCTGCATTTTTCGGACAAAAGTAATTTTTTGAAAGACCTGGAAAATGGAATTCTGTAAAAATGCAATGTAAGTGTCAAATATGTTTCTAATTGTTTCAAATTCATTGTTTTAAAAAAGATCGCCGTTAATGATTAAGATGATTTATTGTAATATCGAACTGTTATGTGGATGTAATCACATGGGACCTCAAAGCAGTGATTATTGATAATGACTACTGGTCATAGACCGCACTATGTGGAGCGAGATGGTGACCCAGAAAATTATAGACAGAGAAAAAACATGCGCCTCAGCTCTGGAAGAAAAGCATGTCAAACGAAAAATGGCTGGCGAAAGCCACATTAACCTGCTAAAAAAAAGGCTTCACAGTCACATGAAAAAGTGAGACGAGATGAGCCCATAGACATAAATAAATATAGACTGACAAAAGAAAATAACGTCATGTAACTTTGAAAACATGTATATCTATTGTTGTCGGATTTCCGAATTCAGAAAAGTTGCATGATATTCAGTCTTAGTCGCTCAACGGACGACATCCTTGTTTACCTGGCAGAAAAGGCAGGTCGTAACTGGTTAGCAAGGTCACGTGACCTCAAGAATTGAAGACAAAGCCTTATTATAAGCTTATTTTCTCTCTCTTTTTACAATCCTTTTATTAACTCACTCTGTCTGTCTGTCTGTTAAAATATTTGTACACGTTTTTTTCCTCCGACACCCGATCTTGGATCAAGCTAAAATTGTTCTCAATTATTTCTTTCACATGCTAACACAAGAATCACTAAAAAAAAATATAATTAATTGACTATTGGTAATTAATTATTTTGTTTGGCATCTCGAACAAAGGGAAAAAAAATGTACTTGACTGATGTAGTCGCCGCTTTAAATTTTGTAGCTAACAATATATAACTTGTCCAGGCAAGGGTTAGGGTCATAGCGTATTGAGAAATTGCGCTAAACAAAAACAATTGGTACAATTATTTCTAACCGCACAGATTTATTATTATTAGTCTGGAATCAAGATCTATTACAAATTTAATTAAGCTACATGACTTTTCCAGACTGGTCCATATGACTTAACTTTAGCTTTTTTTTACAAAATATTTTTTTTTTATTTTTCTTGTTACTTTCTGGTATATACAATACCACTGCGCTGAAAGACTGCACTAAACAGGAAGAGTTCAAAGTTTACCTTATCAAACAAGTTCCAGCTCCTAGAAGAGCTGCTAGAAGAGGAGACAGTAGAAGCAGACATGGCAGAAAGTGAAAGAAACAGTCACCTTCACATACCAAGATGTACTGGTATCAAAGTCTACACCCACAAGGAGTGAATTTCAGCAGAAACTCTTCAGAAGATCAAGGAATGAAGAGAAAAGAAAGCAGACGTGAACAACAGTAAAAAAGAGCAGCTAAAGGAAAAGCACTAAAAGATTATGCTGAAATAGATAGGAATGTCAAACGTAGCATTAGAACAGAGAAGCGGAACTACATTAAAGCACTGGCAAAAGAAGCAGCCCTTCAGAACAGACAAGCGGAACTACATTGAAGCACTGGCAAAAGAAGCAGAAGAAGCAGCCCTTCAGAACAGACAAGCGGAACTACATTGAAGCACTGGCAAAAGAAGCAGAAGAAGCAGCCCTTCAGAACAGTACCAAAGACTTGTAATGAGTCATCAAAAAGTTATCTCGAAAATTTGCCACGTCTGAGAGACCAGTAAAATACAAAAATGGTGACGTGATAACAGATGAAGAAGGGCAAAAAAAGAGATGGATTGAACATTTCCAGGAGCTTCTTAACAGACCTACTCCTGCAAACCCACCAGAGATTCCGCCAGCTACAAGAGACCTACCCATCAAGTGCAGTGCACCCTCAAAGAAGAGATTTGCAGCTCAATCAAGCAATTGAAGAATGGCAAATTTGCAGGACCTGACATCATCCCAGTTGAACCACTAAAGGCAGCCATTGATATCAGTGTGAAGTTACTCTATCTTCTTTTCTGCAAGAAATGGGGAAAAGAAGAAGTGCCACCAGAATGGAAGGAGAGCTACCTCATCAAACTTCCAAAGAAAGGGTATCTTAGTTTCTGCTCCAACTATCGAGGAATAAAACTACTGTCCATTCCAGGAAAAGTGTTTAACCGCATTCTGCTAAACCGAATGATAGATGTTGTAGATTAATGTAGATCCACATCTCCGTGACCAACAAGCCGGCTTTCGAAAGGAGAGATCATGCACATAGATAACGACACTACGCATAATTTTGGAACAGTCCATGGAATGAAACTCCCCTCTCTACGTCAGCTTTATATACTACGAGAAGGCTTTTGACAGCGCGGACAGACAGACACTCTGAAGACTTTTGAGACACCATGGAGTGCCTGAAAAAAATACAAATATCATCAAGAAGTCATATGAGGGGATGACTTGCAGACAACTGACAGATGCATATGAAGTCCAAACAGGAGTGAGACAAGGCTGTTTACTCTCTCCCTTCTTGTTTAAAGTTTCTACTAGCTATAGATTGGGTCATGAAGACAGCAACTGACCAGAAGCGAAACGGTATACAGTGGACACTGTGGAAACAGCTAGATGACCCCTGACTTTGCAGATGACTTGGCTCCTCTTTCTCACATACAGCAGCAGATCCAGGAAAAGATAAGCGTTGTTGCTGACAATTCAGCTAGAATGGAGAGAGGGAAGAGCAGGGTGTTCAAGA